TGTCTTTGCTAAAGTCAAAGCAAGTGCCTGTGTCTGTAAATAGCAAGATGTGCTGTAACACCCCTCAAGCTCTGCAGTCTGTTAATGGTGATTTATCGAGCAGCTAACAGATGCTCTCCTTGCAGTGTACCTCTCCGATATGGAACGAAGGTGTTTGTATGAATATAAAATGCCCAAGGTCTAAATGAATGTAAACACTAAGCCTTGGGTATTTTGTTTGATAATTACTTTTTCATATCAGTAAGCACCCTAACCTCTTGGAGCTGCCTGGTTCTGGGACTAGCACGGCTTTAAGAGACTTCGGCAACATCCCCTTTATGTTATGACTGAAATTAGAGTCATGTCTTTCTATTTGGTTACTGTGCAGTTTGACTAGTGCTAACATATAGGGCTTATATGATGTATTTACACTGGTTGGACAAAATAACACCTAACAATGTCTGAATCTTAACACCTAATAAGGAGCAAGGAGTAAGTATCAGAACAGCTTCCTTTCTGGAGTATTGACTGTTCTCAGCTGTGTGTAGTGGGACACTGGACTTGATGTTCTTGGATGTTCATTAAACCAGTCTTGATGCATTTGATGTTCATTAAACCAGACTTCATTAGGCAGTATGTATAGGGGACCTTATCTTGGAGTAACGTCATGAGGCATCTCTGTTTACACCATAGAATGTCCTTGGTCTTATAAAATGGCCTCAATTCTTTTGTGGGGAGTGATTAGACCTACTGACTCATACAAGATCTACCACCATCCCCACATTGGCAACAGACGTTGTGGGTTGAAGACTTCCTTGGGCATTCTTCAAATGTAAACACAGATAGATGTCAAAAGGTTGAACGATGACTCATAAAACCATATTACTTATTTCCATTGCTCAAGGGTCCTGGCTTTGCATTACTTTCCCCAAGTCATGCATCGTTGTGTGTTGGACTTGGATACAAGTAGTTTCCAAATGGCAACGCTGCCATAAATTTCATCTTTGTGAAACTCACAGTGCTCAGATTCTGTTGAGACTGGATCACAGAGGTATGATTCAGTTCTGTGGTGATTTTTAAAGCCACAGTTTTGTGGCATTCAGTGAGAATCCTGTTAAATGCCTGTTTGTCTCAGTCTGAGCTTTGACTTGCAACCACTGTTTCTCTTCACCGTTGCAGGTTGTCTGTGTTTGGTGTAAGTCTCTCTTATTAGTTGCCTTGTGTTGTGTTGAAAACTCTCCTGACAAAATACTGATTGTTCCACAACTGTTAGATGATGCTAATATTAGTCACTTATATAGCTGTGTTTGCAACTGTGAGATATTAACAACAGATATAGAAGAAGAAGACGAAGAAGAAGAAATACTGAAAGTTAAAGCCCATTTTCATGTTTCCATTTTTCTATTATGCAATATTTGATCTAATATTATCCAAAAAATGAATGAAAAAACACTATTTGCATATTGTAACATTATCAGCATTCACTCAGCTTGTCATACTGCCCTAAGCCTGTATTTGTTGGTGCTAAGTGCTGGTTGCCTGAACAAACTGTCCAGTGAAGTGTGGTGGCCTTGTATTACCTAAAATGAAGTAATTGTCAGTTGGGAGCAAGCCCTTCCCCCTGATGTAATGTGATGTAAACACATCCCCAGATTTTTCATATTAGTGCAGGCAGCCACGTCTCACAGCAGACATATCAGCCGCCTGTCAATGAGATCACATTTCAGTCAGAGCCTCGCAAAGCTGATGCTCTAAACTGGAGACCCAGACTGTTCCTGCTGCATTTACAAGGCGATATACTCTAGGCATACATTTGAAAAAAGATGTGTCAAGCAACAAAATACTGAAAAGAAGGAATCTTTTGTGTTGTTATGGTATGTCTTAGACACCTCTAAGCTAAATAGTAGTTGCAAGTATGTGTGCCTTGTCATTTACATAATTTTATGCAACTAATGGGGAATGAGCCTGTACTTTGGAATCATTGTACAGTAATTTTTTTTTGTGACTATATTGTTGTGTTAATGTGAATGCGTTATTCTTAATACATTTTTACACAATTGATGTAACTATAAATATATAATTTTTTTCTGGTGCATTTATTTGAAGATTTGTAGGTGTGTATCAATGCATCATGCTATTGTGATTTCACAGTGCCCTGGCAAGAATGGCCATCAATTAAATTTGCCATCAATTACAATTCCATTGTTTGAACACCAGAGTTTGCAGGTTTTTCATTAGTAAGCTGTGCGACAACATGGATACAGTCATGATTTTTACAAAATGGCAACTGTCAGGGCTTTGACCTGTTCATAGAGAGAACTATTTTAATTATTTGCTTATTTGTGTAATTTTGACAGATTGTTGAGGAATGAAATCTTTCAAAATGATGTTGACTGTTCTGTTCATTGTAAAAATGCAATGACAGCCCACGCAGTCACAAATGACAAGAGCTGGTAGCTGGATGTGAAAAACTGTTCAGATGTTTGTCTGTATTTCTGTCAGCTGGATGTTGGCAATTAGGTAACGTCATAGTAATTTGAATCTTATTAAATGCTGAGTGGTGGTGGGGATAAAGTAAATGTCAGGTATGAGTAATCCCATGCTGAATGGAGAAAGGCAGCGAGCAGACGCACATAGGCTTTCAGAGAGATGACTAAACACTTGAGAGGAGGACTCCATGGAGGTTCCCACCACAGTGGCTCAATATGAGAGCGATAGTGTGTCTCCTTTTCTGCTCTCATGCTGCTCTCAGTATATCCCAGAGGATAGATCTTCTCTCGGCCAAACGCTTTGTGGCTTTTGGCTAATCATTGATTTTTATAGAATATCCCATGTGTCTGTAATGACTCTCATCATGGCTGCTGCTTAATGTGCTCTAATACTTTATAAGCTGTTTGAGACGTCACCTCTTACATTAGTTTGTTCTTCTTGATCCATACTGTCACTTGAATTGAAATTTCTGGCTCCATCGTGTGCATTATGTCCTCTGACTAGGTCAGCCATGTGTGTGGAGGTTGTAATCTATTTGGCAGCACTGGCCGAGGATTTTGCTGCATCACATTCACTGCAACTTTAATAGTGGGCTGCTAAAGCCTGCTTTGGGCATGGCAGGCTCACTCAGTCAGGCTGGAGGGTGACACAATTAGGCCAGACCTATCCATCAAGCAGCTGCTCCATTCCTCTTGCAGAAAGAGTTTACTGAGCAATTTGTGAAAGTTTCTGAATGGAGTTTAGAGTTGAGGACACTCTTTGAGTGCTAGCACCATCTTAATGATACACTTTCTCAACAAACCTCAACATAAGTGTATGGACAACAACCCATCCCTCTTATTGAAGACAAGCTGCTTTTGGATTGTGTGTGGGTGTTTTTTACGCCTTCCATGATTTCTCTCCCTGCCATTCTTTGATATAATTCTCCTGTCCGCCTCAGAGGATGCTTAGTGACGGTGGTCGGAGGCTTGCTATGTGGGTTTAGGTTTTGTTTTTTTAGTGAATGAGGGACGGTCTTGTTGTCAGTCTCTTTCACCTGCGTCTGTCTCTGCAATTAAATCATGTAGCTCACCAAGCTCTGGAGCAGGAGTTTTTAAGTGTGATGCACACCATGTCTTAGTGGGCACCTCTGTGTTTGCTGGCTGTGTAGACTAAGTGGGATTAATAACAACTAAACATGCTTTTAGCTTTGGGCGATATTTTGTCTATACTAGTGTTTCTGTCTCGCAATAATATTGACTGTAGCGGTGTTGCCCCAGTACTGTGTCGGTATCAACAATACAGTATATCAATACCGTGAAGCAGTTTCTGCATGTACATATAGGCCAGTAGATGGACTTTAATTAAAGCAAGCAACACGTCAACAGTGTTGGATTAATTCACATTTGAGTGGGATTAGCCACAAATAAGTGCAGAAAACACAACATACAAACAGTGCAAAACAGATGTAAACATGAGTGTTCAGGACACGCGAGTGAGAATAAATAACTTGAGAAATTCAGGCGTAAAATGGGTTACAGTTAGTATCGGTATCAATACTCTATATCAGTAGATACTTAAGGATCAGGTATTGGAAGTGATAACAGTGTGTCCATAGGTTTTAGTTTTAGTTAGCGATGCACTAAAATGAAAGTCTTTGCCCAAAACAAAACCAAAATTCAGGACACATTCGGCTAAGAAGTGAAAAAAACTTACAATAAACAATTTAGATAAAATAAACTTACGGAAATGATTACAGTATCTAGGTGGCAGTATGTGCCATGAAATACAACATTCTCAGCAACAGAAAATAGTTAGTCATCCAGGCCAAAACTCTGTGGCAATATCAAACCTTTAGTGAAGAAGTTCTTGGGTGTATCCCCTCAGTGCTTAGCGTTTTTTTTTTTGCGGTGTCCTCATTTTTAGTCATTTTCAGTGACCAGAATTTCGGCGTATCCCTTGTTTTAGTGATACTGAGAATTATATCCATTTTGGCGTTCTATTCCATACAATAACAATGTTGTCATGCTGGCAGAAATATACTGTGTAGTGTTCCCTTTGGTGTCATTTTAAGAGAGGAAAAAAGATTGTTTGCGAGAGAGTCCTTTAGCTTAGAGCAGCAGTACTCATGAAGCATTGGTTCATTAACTTTATTAATGCAGGCTTAAACATTGTCAGATACCATTATGCCATGCTATTTTTGGAATGTTGGTGTACATATTTTATATACAGAGTGTATGTTGATCTGAATAAAGGGTTTGATGATAGTGTTTTAATAGCGCAGCAGGAAATAGCACGACAAGCCTTGAGGAATCTGTGCATAATGCTAACTGTTTAAAAAATAAAGGGGTTTCAGCTTGCCTGGAATAGGCTGAGAAAAAAATATAACTCCGATTTTCTCTTTTTTTTCTTTCCCTGCTCTACTTTCATATTTCCCCTGTCTATCTTGTTCTATCTCCCTGTCTTTGTGACACTACATCACCTCGATTTCTTTCTCTCTCTCTCTCTCTCTCTCCCCCTCCCTACTCTTTCCTTTGCTCTCTCTCTGGCAGGCTGCTCCTGCAGTGAGTCAGTATCATGGAGGCAGGCAGCGGGGCTGCTGCAGTGGTGGGGAGTGCAGCGCTAGGACTGCTCGGAGCCACAGGAAGTCATGACATCTCTGACAGGTAAAAACTTACTTCTCTTCCTCTTAACCTACTCCACTAGTCTCATGAGGGTCATTCTCGTATCTGTGGGGATCCTGCTGCATTTGGGCAGGCTACGTGTGTCTATGTGGATGAGCATGTGCTGTGTGTCTCCCTGCCTCAGCGTGTTCTCCGGCTTCCCTGCACTGGTAATCATGAATATAAGAGATATCTCTGTTTGTCAGTGAATTTTTGCATGTATGAGTGCATCGTTGTATACGTATTTATGAGTGTATGTTTGTGCAAGAGTAGAAGGGATGAAGGTGATTATAATTGCAGGTGTGCATATGATTGTTGCTGGCATGGGCTTCTGTTTCCCTCCTGGGGCTGAAGAGGAAATGTCAGAAGTGAGAGAAGTGAGTGTATGGAGGCATAGGCTGATGTAGCTTGGTAAGATCTGTTCTGTGAGATGCACTGATTTTTGGCCAGCTATGCAGCAGCGTTGGGCTGCTGAGGAGAGGAGCTGTTATTAGGCGAGTTTCTGAGCATCTGCAGTTGATTTTTATTGTACAGGTTCATATTCAGTAATAACAGCTCTCTATTAGGTCATTAATCAGTTGCGAATGATGTCATTACCCAGTTACCTTCAGAACCCATTCTGTACGTGCTACGAAACAACACTTGTGGTGACCACCATCATGTTCTCTAGTAGGCAGTCAATTACAACACACACTATTGAAATGCCGGTACACTCCCACCCACTCGCAGTGCCAGACATCAGAGGCAGAGCCCTGAGCGCAAGTCACATGATCACAAGTGCTCACGAGTGCTTGCATGCTTTTGCGGTGTGAACTCTTTCTGCTGGCTTCCTTTTCTGAGATTCAGCACTAAATCCCTTTCACAGGATAACCTTCCTGCCACCAGTTTTGGGCCCGGAGGGGCAGGAATTGTCTGTATTTGAGGATTATTGTCCAGCCATTTTAGTCCTCTGCCTCACTTGAACAGGGTCCAAATCCTGTATGCTGAGGGTTGCCATGGTAGCTACAGCTTAGCATACATTAGATATTAGCACAACATTACAGAGGCAAAAGAGTAGAAGGAGCGAAAGCGAGGCCATTATTTCTTTCATCTCCTTTGAAAAACTTGGCTTCTAAATTTACTATGCGAATGCCATCAGCAGTTGCCCCTGTGACTCGTGCTTGCTTGACGAATGGTAAATTTAGCAGTTTTCAGGCTGCAGTGTTTATTTCCCTGTCCAGAGTGCAATGCTGACCCACAGCAGTGCCACTACCTCTCTTTAAATGCTGGTGTCCTGCCAGTGCCTTGTGTCCCGAGAGCCCGACTCTGACTTTGAACAGCCCTCAGCCGTCAAGGCAAGGCGAGAAGATTCAAGGATCACACATTTTATGACATAAAGCTACATCGGTCTGTGATGTACAGAGTAATGAACTAAATTGTAGAAAGTGTATAGTAGCCAGATTGTTTGTGTTTATTCTTCCCAACAGTGCTGAACAGAAACATCCTCAGGCACTCTGGCATGGGAAGCTCATTCATAGCTTTTGATTATGTGAAAAATCCTATCTCCACTTTGACTATCACTCCTACTTTTTTAACCATTAACCAACAAACAAACAGTTGTTCAGCAAATGCTATCAGTTACATTTAACCAATGTCATAATTTGTTTACCCATCCATAATTTAAATCTGTTTCGTTTCCAATAAGCAACAGTTCCTATATGAATAGTTTGGTGTATCATTGAAGTTGAGTGAAGGTTTTTAAAATTGAACTTATGATGGTGCGGTAGGCAGTTGGTTCTGCTAGACAGGCCTGCTCAAAAATGAAGCAGCTAAAGATATTGGTGACCTGTCAAGAGGATGATAGCACAACTACAGTGATGTACCATATCGAAAGCAAACATCTGCAAACGATAAAACAGACAAATATTTGGTCCAAGCTCTCCAAGATGCACATGTGTGAGGAAATCACATGAGAGTGCAAAATTATAAGGAAGGACGTGGTGGACGCGACAGCTTTTAAGAGTTGTCGAAGTTCATTGAGCCAGAGCTTCTCATGACCCCAGGCATGGTATTTAGGTTTGTTTGAACTTGGGCTGGTAATCAATGATGAGTATAACTTAAGAACTTTAGAATATAGAACATTAAGTAACCCATCAGTGTATATTCCTGTCGTTTTGTCAGCTTTTTATTTTTTTTGTTTTGAACCAATCTGGGTTTGTACATAGGGTATAGGGCAGGGGTGTCCAATCTTATCCACAAAGAGCCGGTGTGGCTGCAGGTTTTTGTTCCAACAAAGCAGGACTGCACATGATCAGTTGTTTGAAGGCTGAGCAATTAATTGAACAAGTAGAATCAGATGAGCTCCAGCTTGTTTAGAATGAGAACTTGCAGCCGCACCGGCCTGTTGCAGATAAGATTGGACACCCCTGGTATAGGGCCTCACTGATCTGTACGACATTCCACAGTCTATACAAGGAGCATTTTTAAATATCCTGGTGTATTAATACAGAGTTCAGTTAATATGTGCACTCATAAGTATGCAATCATCAAGTATTTTACAATGACATTAAGCATGACTCCAATGATGCCAATGAGATTTTAGGGTACAACTATCCATTTTGTAAGCAATATTTTAATAAAAGGGCGCCATTATTTATTTTTAAGAACTCTAAAACATGAGAGTTTTGCTAGTATTTGTGTGTATGTTACATTATATTTTGCTACTCCTTGCAAGTGTCGTAACATTGGCGCACTGCTGAGGATGTGTTGTTAAAGTCGTGAAGGCAGAGATGCTGTTAGCTGATGTTAGGTCTTGAAACAGTTATAATATATTTCTCTGACAAACTAACACCGTGGAACATTGTCCAGTGAAGAGGGGAAAAAAAAAGATGTGTAGGCTAGATGACAAGAAGTCTCTGTCAGCATCCAGTTTTGTCATTAACGTTAGCTCATCTGAGGCATGCTTTGTTATGTTAACGCTACTGATCTGATGAGAAATAATAAATAATCAATAATAAAGCATGTTTTGAAATGTTTTCCTCTGCGCAATATGATGCATTTTTGTGCGACACCAGTACTATCTCCTAAAAAAGAAAGTAATTTCAGACAAAATACTTTTTTTTGCTGTTGTTTTTTTCCTTTAGCGCTGTTAACCGGATATCCGTTCATGAACATTAACGAAGACTTGAATATCAGAAGTAGTCAGAAAGCACATCCCTATTCACTTCTTTGATTTTGGGCTTAATGGTTAATGATTTATTGGTGACTGATACCAGTTGGTCAAAAGATATGGCCAAAATTGGCATCTCTAGTGCAAAATGCTAATGTTGTTCACGGTGAATGAAATAATTTTGTTGCCAAGCAACCATGGACCATTGAATGCGGAGAACAGCGCCCATCACTGTATACTGTTGTATTTCATGAACTTTTAAATGTTTTGTTCTATAACAGTAAACGCGTCATAACATAGCACTGTTTAATGCAAAAACTTTTGCTTAATAAGTACCTTTTGGTCACCAAAGTACCAATATGAGTTTTCTTCTGCCAATCTAATGCTTCCCCTCTTCCCATGCTGGGGCTGAATCTCAAATGGCTCCCTACATAGTTCACTACAAAAGAATTTAAATACTGACTCGAGTGAATAATGTTGCTAAAAATAGTCACCTGTGATTCAGCCTCATTCATACTCAAAAGACAATGCGCTGTTTGGCTGTAGAACCTAGTATTTTGAAAACTTACACAGCACACTATTTAGCTAGGGAGTACAGAGCCGTTGGAGATTCAGCCTCGGTTTGATGCTACTTCTGATTAAAACGCGGACATTTGAAGTGTGTAAGCCGTTCAACTGACATTCTTTAAGCCTTTTATGTTGCTGTTTTACAGTGAATCACATCGTAAGTACATCAGTTCAGGTCTATGCTAATAATTTTTAGCCTGTTAGCTAGCTGACCAGCCTAGTTCTAGTTCAGAAAATAAGTTGTCAGCCTGTCATTTTAAACAAAAAATGGGTTCTTACTTTATCAGTACACTCAGTGGTCCTTGTGAGCAGCATTGTACTGTGTACTGACAAAATAAGAACCCATTTTATTTGTGACATGGTGCAGTAATGCAGAGTTCAGTTGTTGTGTGTGTATATTGTGAATTTTATAATGGCTCTGAACGTGGCTCAGCTGGATTTTAGACTGTAACTATCCGTTTTATAACCACCAACTAGCAGTAAGCCAGTGACATTACTATTAGCTTCCACGCTTCATTATCCATTTAGCATGACTGATTGTGCTATTCTACTTATCTCATTTACACCTCACCCAAACCCTAGGAGGTTAAATGATTGCTGGGTAGGTGTGGCTGCTTAAACATATCATTTTTATCTGAACAGATGCCTAGCGCTTATGTCTTGGAGTCAGATGATGAGACATGCAGTTGGTGCACAGTACATGCACTTTGGGTGCAACCTTGTCTTGTAATGGCTCCCAGGTGTCCTCAGGTTCACTATGGAATGCCACTCTATGAAGATGAAAACAGTCTCAGTTCAAGATGAAAACGCTGCTGTAGGCCGCATAAAGGTTTACATTGTCAACAGCCCAATTGTTCAGCCCCAGTGAATTTAATAAAAAGTGTCCCTCTGTGTGGGCTGGCCTGGCTCTCAGAATTGCATTACCTCACTGACACCCTACTGCTGGAGTTTGCAGATAGACAATGCCCTGCAGGAGAGTGAGTCTCTGAAGGCCTCATGTCTCCTGCATGTGCTCATTTGCGCCAGTGCTTTGAACAGGGTCAACAAACAAGAACGTTAAGGCAGCTTGACAGTTGTTTTGATCATTAAGCTCCACTCATATATGCTAGTGTGTCTTGCTGTTGTCCATTACTGAAATACTAAAACTTTTGAGTCTGTGTGTATGTCTGTGTGTCGGTGTGTGTTGCTATATGTGCTCTCCTCCAAGTTCAGAGACAGTTTGAATTGGAAAAGAGGATGGTGCAAGCTCTGTAATGGAAGTACCATTCAGTAATAGCCCCGCTTCTCTCTGACGCTGGAAGAGTGTAATACAGTGGGATTGCTGTTCAATCAGCCGTGTTCTGTAGTATCAGATCGTGTTTGTTTCAGTGAAAATTGCCTTGAAGCAGGGTGTGTGTGCCAGACAGAGACCCATTGGACTATCTCAGCTTTCCAGCCCCAAGACAAAGTCTTTCCTGCAGGGTGACACTTAGTGCCAGCATGCAGGATAAGCAAGTATTCTGTAAAATGAGGTGCTTATGTTCTTTGCTGCTCACTTGTCTCTTGTTCTGCCAAGCTCTGTCTTTATGATTCCCTCTCTCTCTCTCAATCTCGATCTCTCTCTCTCTCCATCTTTCTATAAACAATCAAAATTTACTGAACTGATAAATAACAAATGATGCAGAGCAAGGAAGCCTTAAAAACACATTTCTTTCTATAAAAGGGACTAGAAGAAGAATTTAAAATATGCAATATCATAATGCAAATTGCCAACTAGTCATTCCTGATTCATGGAGAAAATTATTTAGCTGTTTTTTTATTTAATTTTTATTTTATTTAATTGTGACAGCCCTACAAATGAGCATAGTAATGGAGCATATCTTTTGCTGTTCAAAAATTTTCACTCAGTATAAGCTGTTGTGTTCAAATGATGTAGAAAAATAAAAATGCACATACATCTTTTTTTTCTTTATTTTTTTGCACAGCGACAACACCTGCTCAGTGTCTGAGTAAAGAGGATTTCTTTGACAGTAATGATCTTATTCCTCAGTAGAGAGAATCTCTGTTGTCCTGTGTTTGTTGTGGTTATCCTTCTACTCCATGTTTCGGAAGAATAATTTGTTGTTCACCACTGGACTAATTTTCTTGTTCATTAACCTGGAAGGGTTGAATGAGGGAAGCCCTCAGTGCTTCCTACATCATTGCTTTGGCTCTTTCTCCTTCACACATGCCAGACATGATCTCCTGATATCACACCTCTCTGCATGCTCACTCAGCCGAAGCATCTCGGGTCCAAACCTGTATCACAGTCATTAAAGGTGGTATTGATTAGGCCCAACTGACATGGAAGTTTGTGACTAATTTTTATTTATTATTATTTTTTATTCAAAGCCAATCAAGCTTTAAATGAGCTTTTTTTTATTGAAGCACTTCACTAAAGATGCAGGCTGTCATTCTCTGTACTACATTGTACTACTCCACAGGAACAAATACACATGTATGTTATTTAAGGATGAATTTGCTTGAGGTGTTTTATTTTTTCCAATATGTTAAACATAGCAAATAAATAGAAATTGTACACTAAAATTTGCACGAAAATGCCATATTTAAGTTTGTTTCCTGTAGCGGATGTGATAACTCAATTTCATTTAGAAAATCAACAAAACCTCAACAAGACCCTTATTGTTATGATGGGAACAAGCTGATATCACAATGAATTTAAAAACTGGCATATGAGCAAGCAGCTGTTTTCTGACCGTTCACGTCAATATAAAACAAGACCCGAATTATCACTGCTTTATAGGAGGCGATTTTGTGTATACTGATACATTAGTGAAATACTGGTTGGCCCTAGTGTTGATGGTTGTTTTGGCTGCACCTGGATCAGTCAGAGCCTTTGAGGCTGTGTCATAATGCAGCATGCTACTGCTCTCTGGGCGCCCCCTCCCCTGGTGATTAGAGATGCAAACCGTGCTGCTTCAAACCTGCATTGAGGATGACAGTTTGAGGTCAACCACGTGTAGATACCCCCTGAGGTGTGGGGTTGTGGGGGGCGCATCCATGCTCATGAGAGACGGCTCCAGACGTAGGGTGGAGTGGGTGCCTGCATGATGTAGGCTAGCTCTCATCAGAAAGGAATTTGTGTTGGAGAGTATTGGATAAATCCTGCGTGCTCTTGTGGGCCGTATCTGCTGTCCTCATTCTAATGCTTTCTCTTCTCATTTTTTATTTGTTGGTTTCTTCCTCAAGGGCTCATCGCAAACTGAATCTGTGTCAGAGATGAATGGGTTTCAGCTGCCTGTAGCAAATAGAAACTGCTTGGTTTTTTTGGGATACTTTGCTGCCTCTTGTTGAGACTGTTTAGTATTGGTCTTCCCTCACACTTCCTTACTATTTAAAGTTTTGAGCTACATAGATCATTATTTTTAAAGCCTTTATGAGGATGCAAATGTCCTTATTACTTAAGCGATGCCATTATATAGCTTTAACTGTGCAGATTGGCTGAAACAAAATGGCCACTAATTGAATTGCCTGCCCTGCTATAAGCTCTTGGTCAGATGCCTGCTCTACAATACTAAAATAGACAAATAAATATGTATTGCAATTTTAAGGTCATCCACAATGGGTCTAATCCATGGCGCAAAAGGTTTTATGTAATTGGTTCCAGATCTTTTCATGGAAACAATTTTCTATTCAAACTGCCATACAGACTTTTTCCCCCATGTTGGAGACTGAAATGATGCTGTGGACAGTGCTGTGCTTTTCATCTTTGAGCAGTGACTGTTACTCATTTAGCTCTTCTGAAAAAAGGAGGCTGCTATTTTTCCTACGAGACTCCCAGACCTCATGTCATTGTTTGCGCAAGGTTCATGCCGATCATGTCTCTCCTCTGCTGTTATTTTCTCATCAGTCTCACCGATGAGTAATATCAAGCAGTATAACCTTCAGTATGAAGACTATCCTAAGTTAATGCTGTGAAAATGTTTTACCAACCTTGGAAGATAAAAAAATGACACGTTATGTGTTTTGCTTGTATAGTTTTCTAATTATGGCCACATCCAAATTCTAGCATCTTACCTTGCATTCTGTATTTACTGCAACATAATTATTTCTTTTTTTAAAGCAAGCTTTATGGGTAAGTCCTAGGGATGCACTGATATGGGAATTGTGGGCCGATGCTTATATTTTTCATGTACATATCTGCCGACACAAACATTTATGTCTATGTCTGTCTGGTTTAGCTTCACAGATAAGTTGTTTCTGTTGGGTTTATGTGCAATAAAATTTAGACAGAAGCATGGTCTAAGTGTTCTGCATTCCTGTAGTCAACTCTAAACATCTGTCCAATGCCGAGCATGTTTATAAACCCATTACTTTGTGAAGCATTTTAATGAACCCTAATCTAGCAATTTCTTGTTTTGCACTTATGTCTTATTTATGTATTTTGTATTGTTCTTTCTAGATATTAGCACTGACTCTTGTTTCTGTCATTGTCTTTGCTCAAAGGTAATTTGAACTCTAAACTATTTGTACTAGTTAGGATACATTCTCCGAGTGAACAATTGGGTTTTTGGGGCCAATACTGATCAAGGGTGCTGGGAGTCACATATAAAGGCGTAGTAAGCGATTCTGGAGAATAATTGCTTATATTTAAACTCAACAGCAGAACACGTACACCCCTCCCTTCAGTGCTCCTTCAAAAAATCTGTGCCCCCAAATTCATGTACATGCACTGTCAAAGTGAACAACACTATTTTAGATCTTCGTGGCCATAAACCCTTCACAAATGTTGTACGGACAAATACTATGATATAACTTTAGAGTGCAAGTAACGTAATTAACATTAGCTAGATTGTGGGTTAGCAAACTATTGCTACAATTGCTGCTGTGAAGGTAACCAGTTAGGATCAGCTATCACAAACATTGGCAAACAGGACAAAACAATATTGACGTTGGTTCTGTGAAACAGCAAAAATAAGTTAATGCTACCTGTCAAGCAGAAACAGAGAAACCTACTGATTCCTTTTCATGTCTTTCAGCTCTCAATGAAGATGACTTTACCTTGTTTGAACTTTCCCGTTCCACCTTAAATGGTGCAGCAGTTACATTCTGGCACCTCAGGCTACCATAACCGTAGAAATAACTGGAGCCTAAGCAACCGGCACAGCTAACAGGACAGAACCATCCTCCTGCTTTACGTCACTGATTAGCTCTCAGGATCGACTAAGTTGAAGAAATACTGGCCAATTGCATATTTGGGCCTTCCATCGATCCTTCCATCTCTAGTGGACAACAGAGCATTTTTCTAAGCTGCTCTGGATAAGAGCGTCTGCTAAACACTGTAAATGTAAATCTGCCGATAGCAAACTGATTCCGATATCACTATGCATTCCTAGTAAATTCATCTTGTTGGATCTTTATATCTCGTAAATGTTTTATTTGCAAAGATGGTGAGAGTGTCAGGGACTTTATTCTTTGTTAGTCATATTTATCTGAATTGTCATTAGACATATGTTAATGTCGTTAATTAAATAAATGTCTGCTTGTATGCTCAGCTTGTAAGATGTCTCCGCGCCTTGCTCTGAATTCTTCTGGGTATGCTGGATATAGTTTTCCCTGCATGTCCCAGTGATTGGTTTTGACATTTCTCCTAATTGAAATGGTGCCACCATTAACACCTCTGTGCGTGCTTAGACGTTTTTAAATTCTGTCTACAATGAAGAGATGCCATTTATATCTGCACTCTGTGCTTGATGTTCTGCTCAGCTGGACTGTTTGAAAGAGAGATTGTCACAAAGTATGCAAGTATGTCCGTTTTTCACAGCCTGACTCACTAAGCTCATTCTCTCTTTCTGTTTTTTTTTTTGTTTGTTTTTTTTTCCCCCCCGCTCCTTCCTCCTTTCTTCTACTCTTTCCACTTTGCCCTAGGGGACTGAGGCCTGGCCGCCACCCGGAAGAGGACGACCTTGTGCCTGATCTTGCCAGGAGTATTCACCCCCGGGAGAGACCTGACTGGGAGGAAACAATCAGCGCTATGGTGAGAACCACATATCTCACATACACACATGCAAATGTCCTGCTTACACACACACACACACACACACACACACACACACACACATATAATGCACCAAATTCACTGATCTTTAAGATAGTGCTGGAAAAACTGAGTTTCTCTGTGGTAATTAAAGATTGACTCCTTCCTCCCTGATAAAGCTTCTTCAATGCTACTATCACACCCACATCTCTGTTCTGAAGATATTGTTCCTTTATTTTATAGACTAATTACATTTTACTGCTTTGATGTAAACCAAAATGCTTGAAACGGTGCTGTACACCCATTCCATGTGAATGAGTGACTATCTTTATTATAGAGACGTAGGTGTAATGGGAGGGCTGCCATAGTGAACGTTAGACAGTGATTTTTAGAGGGTCTTCCTTTAAGCGGAGCATTATTTTTCACTTCTCGCATCAGTGAAAGCGGTTGGATTCATGTTCAGTTTAACAACTCTAAACATGCTTCCACTGCATTCAGTGCAGCTGGAATGAGTTGGTCTCCATGGCAACCTGAATGTTGGCTGATGTTTTGAGCACAAACAGATTTGGGAAACTACTTTCAGTGTCAGGAGAGTTGCCATTTATCAGGCAGCTCATGAAACAAATCCATTTCACACTCTTTGAGTTTGTAGATCTCCACTGTTTAAATTGATGCCATTAATTATATGTTAATACATATACATAGTAGAATGTATTTTAATGTATTTTCAGCAGATGATTGCATTAGCTAACAGATGCCTGCGCTGGCTAGCATTACGCTGATGCGGGTAGACAGGGGGCCATCCTACCCACCCAGAGAAAGCGAGACCAGTTGTGCTCTTTTAGGCTCCCGGCCACGGATGGATGTAACATCACAAGGGATCGAACTTGCGATGTCCTGATGATAGGGTCAACGCTTAGATGGTTGCACCACTTCCAAGTCCTGAAAAGGAAATAGTTTGATGTAATATGAAAAATTTGAATAAGTTTCAAAACGTACCATTCACTTCCCAGTCCGTATAGTCCATATATGAAAACTAAACTGAAAATCAGCCCATTTTTAATTAATTGCTTTTGTGATGTCATTTAAATATGTCCACCTTATCCGCCTACAGCAGTCTAACCCCACCTATTCAGGCTGAGGTTTTAAGGAGCCCTGACTGCTTGAGTGAGGCACGATACAGGGCATCCGGTCAGAATAAAATATGTATTTTTCTGGGCTGTAGACGTTTTTTTTTTTCTTTAAGAAAAACATTAATATTAGAGTAAATACAAAAAACTTTAAATTAAAATAATTAATAGTGATTTTATATATGTTAAAATCTTTGTTTAACCATTTCCCAACCTCTTCTCGAGGAAGCCTAGTGTAATTGTAGTTACCATCCAGTGCCTGATATGTCTAATCAGTGCTTCATTAATGCTGCACTTCGTAAGTCTGGCAAATTTGGGGAACTGGCAACCTCTCTGGTGGGAATATGTAACTGCATGAAAAATGCGGAAGAACATTTTGTAACATGGGTTGTGCTGTGGTCTCCTTCTATGAGTAGGTTAATCTGAACTACTCTTTTTCAAAACTGAGGGGAAAAGTATAGATATATGGATATCCTGCTTTACTGCGGAAAACTGATGGCTAACTAACATTACTGTTCCCACGACAGCTGGGTAGTACATGTTTATTAGTTATTCAAGCCTCAACTCAGTCAGATTTCTGTTTAGGCAATGTTAACCAAATATATTTTATATTGGTTGCATTTACGAAATAAGACAGACAGTAGCACTGGAAATTGTTTATCACACAATAGAGGACTCTGAACTCTGAAGGGAAAAAAAAACACTGTTAGCTAAGTAATTGGCTAATATTAGTGAATTAGCCAGCTAACCTTAGCTATACAGCTAAAACGAACTCTGAAGCAAAAAAGGCACCATTAACCAAGTAATCGGCTAATATTAGCACATTAGCCTGCTAACGCTAAGTATACAGCTGAAACAACTTCACTGTTACAAGGGTACACTGCATTACATTACAAGGCTAACAATTCCACAACAGTAATAACCTGGCTGGCTATTTTTCGGTAGCTATCTAGCAGGCAACCAACATAACCTACTAGTCCAGCAATAAAAAAGGCCTATTCAGCATCACTCCTGAGTCCCTTCAGGTCACGGAGCTGTTGCTATCTCTGAAAAGCTGAGCCAGTGTTGATTCTGGTCTTAGCTCGAGTTGTGTCGCTGTGCCGTTTAGCTTACCGGTGTTCTGACGAATTGTATCACCTTATCAAATTGCCTTATTGTAGCTTATATTTATCGATAGCTGTCTACATAAAAAAAAAAATCCTAGACAGGATGTTTTGATAGCCTAAATCACCTTATCAAAAAAATGATGCATATGTATTACCAGCATTAAAATTACAAAGCTGAAGCATCTTATTCGCCAGCTTCTCATTTGAATATTCCCATTCCTTCTTAAATGCTGCAGCTGTTATTATAATGCCTCAGCCTCCATAATGTAACTGCTACACCATTTAAGGTGAAATGGGCAAGTTCAAACAAGAAGCTGGTGAATGTTATCAGAAAATGTTACCAGCATTATTAGGATTAGGACATTTTGATAGCCTAAATCACCTTACCAGGGGGTGAATAGTAACATCAAGCTGAGTTTGTGCTCAATTAACATTAAAAGCACAGTAAAATGGTTAAAGCACTGAGTTACTACGCTCTGCTAATGATGTGCACTACTGTTTGATAAGTAGGATAAATTGTTAAAACACTGGCTCTCTTCAATTCTGCATTTCTTCACTTTGACCATGGGTAGCGCCACAGGAGATGACTGGGTTTGCTGTTCTGATGTCTCCATATTGAACGATATCTCTCTCCTTTCTATTACTAACTTTCAGCACTGTACAGACCAGCACTAGGAGCTATGCCCCCACCAGTGTTGCTCAGGTAGCCAGCCCATATAAAGCCAGACCTTCTTTTTGAGTCTGTGAATGTGACATCAATACGTAAAGACATCTGATGTGGTCTAAAAAAACTCCCGCCAAATCTGACCTGACAGCTCTGACTTTTGAATGAGTATTTCAGACATAAGAGGGAGACTCGCAGCAGTGCAAGAACACCATACTTTAGCAGATTTCTTTCCCTCTTCACTCAGTAATGTGAATTCTTTCAATTTTAATAAACAAATCATGCATAGTGCAGCTTTAAAGATATTTTCACTCTTGCTTGGTGTGGACCTACCAGACTTTTTCTTTAGTTCTGTCTGACCTCCAAGACACTCCACCTAGAACTGTCACAATTGTTATTTATTGCTTGCCTGATGAAAATTGCTTGAAATATTGCAATCTTATGTTTGCCACCTCTACAGCAGTATCATTGGAATGTGAATTTGGTGCTTTGAGTTAAGAAATGTAAATTCACTGATACATCATGGGTCTAATGAAAACGAAAAAATCTGACTTCTAACTTTGTGCTATAACACATTCAGAGCGCAGCATGAGTTAGTTGTTTATTTGTTAACTGTCTAGCTAATTCAGATGTTTTTAGCATGTATGCTAGCAAAATGAGTATTTTGATTAGATTTTTATTTTATCTGAGATAAATCAGGTTTGCTGCTAAGGAAATTTTAACATACCTATGCAAGAAAGCAAACTATATGCCTTATTGCCTAGATAAATGGTTTTAAACAATTTGCTTAGGTGCCCGAGACATTTGAATGGTGTTAAATATCAAAGAGAGGTTGTAAAATGGTCATTTAACGATTAGTTATGTCTGTATTTGGTAGTGTTGTAGTCAAGGTCACTTGAACCAAGTCTGAGTCAAGATGAAGACTGGAACACATCAAGATAAAGACTTTTAGTAGTCGAGACCGAGACAAGACCAAGACCAGATGAAGAATTTTTTTAAAGACGTTGGAATTTATAACCAGTGAGCATCAACAAATTGCTAATACTCAGTTAAGCCATCCTGGAAAGGATCAATTAGATCCTCAACCAACAGATTTTATTTAAACCTATACAACAGTGGTTTTCAACCTTTGGGCTGCAGCTATCCAGTGGGCCGTGGTGGTTCTGCATTTTTTTTAATGCAAAAATTAATTTCAATATAAATATTTAAGCAAATGTACTTTTACATATGACAAATATTTTTCATTATTTGCAAAAATCAATCATAATCATATTGAGCTCCTTGATTGTTTTGGCAAACTGCGAGTTAGTTAACCGAAACAAAGAGAATGCAGCGAATATGTAGCCCTGGGCTTCACCTGCGTGAGAACTGAAAGCGAGTAACTACAGTTCTTTTCTGTTTGCTCAGGGGTCTTTTCAAATGAAGCTTTCAATTTCAACAGTTGGAGACTAAATACGGTGTATATGTATCTAAACCTGTCAAATTGAGCCAGAACTTTGTTTGCGTCTTCTCTTTATCCTGACATCCAGCACTTGGTAGCTGCCAAATCAGCCTTCTCATTAGGTGAGCCAGAAAAGGCAATCTGATACCTTAACTCTGCAGAAGCTTTTGTGGTCAGACAGAGGAATCGCACTCATCTGGTCTTCACAACAATTTCCGAGTCCACCTTACCACAAGCTTGGAATAAATGAGTGAAAATGAGTTCAAGACCAAGACCGCTCGTTTATAGTCTTGAGACTTGAAACTGGACTTGAATAATACAACACTAGTTTTTCGTACATAAAACCACACAAATGTTATAAGTGGTCTTCTGTGGGGAGAAAGTTCTTAAGGGAGCCAAAATGGTTGTTCTGTGGCATTGCTCTAAGAGCTCTTTTTGGTGCCTTTATTTTTAACAGTGTATGACAGCTAGTGCTGTTTTCATGCATTATTAATTCTGAGGTGAGAATGAGATCAGTGCCTTTGAATTTAAAGTTGAATGCATTATGCCGCAATTGGCAGGGACACTCTGACCTGCCTGTCTTTACCTGCATATATTTTCCCACATCCTTTTAAACAGATACCATGATAGAATATAGCAATAACTCTTGCTATCTCTACTTAGGGGTGTTGTGATTTGCTGCTGTCTGGCTGTGACGCAGCCACAAGGATGATTCATTTTTTCTAAGTGTTTTGACTCACTGGATTGTTTTGATGGGCCTTGCCAGATAACCATGTCTGTCTTACACTTGGCTAGACACTGAAGTGACTGGTAGCAGATTTATAAGGCATACCAGCTGTCAAAAGATTTATTCCACCTTACCAGCAGGGGTGCCTGGGCACAGTGTTAAACTCAGTACAAAATGCTGACTTTCATCTCATCCCGAGTGTCCTCTGCTCCCAGTAAATACTGCCCTCTTCTCCTGTCCTGTTCTCTTTACTTCCTCTGCTTCTCACTGACTTTCCTTATTTAGTGGCATTTTCTGTTCTCCATGACTTAGTGAGAACTGCAGGTACTGCATGATGAATATTTAATTTTGTTATCTTATGCGTGCATCTGCCACATGTCTGCTTGTGCAGTCATTCTGTGACTTATCTGGCTTAATTTATTTTTTTAAAGGATTATTTCAAATGATTAGTAAAATGTTATTGTAGTTTAGTGTCTGATTATCAACTGCCTTACACTTTGTAAAGATATAGAACCTCATAGTGATGCTGGCTGATGTCTGTATCCTCCTCTTTTCTCTTTCAGGCACGAAGTGCTGAAGTTCCAGAGCTTTGCTCAGAGCCGCTGCTACGCTCCTGCAGCAGCACTGCCAGCATGAAGGTCAAGAATGTTAAGAAGTAAGTGTACCTTTAATTTTTACACACACACACAGACAGATATACAGTCCTAAAAATGGAGATGTACTAACCCGAGGAAATGCTCTTTCTTAAACGTTTGACATTTTGACGCAAGCTGCTTGCCTACACAGGTTATGTCTATACTTACAACCATGCACCAAAGGCTCTCTTACATAATGTTTTGTTTTGTTTTGTTTTTTTTCTTTAGACTCTCATTCACCAAGGGTCACTTCCCAAAGTTAGCAGAGTGCGCCCACTTCCACTATGAAAATGTTGACTTTGGGACCATACAGGTACGATGTTTACTGTTCATCTGCTGGAGATGCAAAGTGTTCCACTGCTGAAATGCTAGTGGAGATTATCATTAGCCCCATATTGCCTGTGTATCAGAAGTTTGGGTTATACAGCTAGAGCAAGTGGAACGGTGGCACGTTCCTCAAGGGATGGCTGGAATTCAAGGGCAGTGGAGTGGAAAGCAGTGACTGGCGTAATTACCATGCCTCACAAACGAGCAATAACACTCTGCCCCAGCTGTTACTGTCTCCCTCTCCCTGCATGAGTTCTTCCAGAAACAAGTATACTAATCGTTGGATATTTGGGGTCTGAGTATAATTCTTATATTTTGTGCTCATGACGCTAAATGCTATAAGTAGCATAATTTTTTTATCCTGTTTTATATGCCTTTTTAATTCTGATGTTCTTTTTTTAACTAGTGGCCCCTCTATTGTTTAGCCTTTGTGTGTTATGTCCAGTGTTTTTGTTTATTTGTCTCAGAAAACTTGTCTTTACCTTGGATCACGGTCCTTCAAGCTTTATTTGAGCAACAGTCTCTTTTTCCAGTGTATTGGAATTCCTGTTCTTTTCCTAAATACTGCTTTTTTTTACATTTCTCTTATTATGTCCAGAAGCAATGCTGTGTAGAAAAGCCTAAAAGGATTGGGGAGAGTTGTGAATAGTGTCTTGTTCTTTGGGGACAGAAGGTGGTGAGGTGCTGTGGAGTAGGCCAGCGCTGTGCTCTTGTGTTAGGGATTAGTGGCTATAATGGAGTACACACAGTTAGAGATAATAGATGGGGAAGCTCTGGCAAGCTTCAGCACTGGGTGGGAACAGAGCAGAGGCATTAAGCTCCGAATACTAATCCTGAGCAGAGGAGGCCAGACTGACTAGTCTAGTGAGCACAGGTGCAGCCTAATATGAAAGCTTTCTCATAGTGCACATCATTAATAGATGGGAAGCTTTCTCTGTAGAAGTTGTGGTCAAGTTTAGTGTCTTGTGGGGATGCATCAAGCAGATGGAAGCTGTGGTTTCTGTGGTTGTCCAGTAGAGGGCAGTAACTGATAGCACTTGCCAGTGGGCAGTAAGAGCAGCAGGGCACCATGGCGACACAATTTTATATGAATAATTCTCTTTGCGCTGTTGGGTAATCAGCTCGTAATCATGGCATATGCACAAAACACTGCTCTGGATTCAAGCCGTGTGTAAATGGAGCTCAGAATAAATGAGTCAGAGCGTGAAAGTGCGGCGTCTGCTGCTGGATTAGGTTCTTGAGTCGTGTTTGCTGCCCTGTATTTGCACTGAAACACTGCATGTTGGCCTTCTCATGGTGGTTTATGAATGGCTTGTAATTATAGGTCTGGGTTGGCCTGTGTTCCTAGTAGAGCTGAGCAGTGATTGGGTTTCTCTGAGCTCAGATGCAGTGCAAGAGGCCCTCACACTGCGCACAACAGCCCCCATGCCCAATATCTGAGCCATGTACGCAGTATGAAGAAACTAAAGTTAGAGCAGGGGTATTAACAGTGAGATGGTGACCTTGTTAAAGGTCTCATAGTTGGAAAATGTGTGTCACCACAGTGGTCATTTTGTAGCTGCTTATTTGACCTGTTCAAGCTCAGTTATTGATTGTTATTGCAGCAATTGCTGCAGCAAATGGAAGTCAGTGCTTTTAATGAACTCTAAAACAGCCCTTTGCTCCAAATACTGAGTAAGAACTGCTGAGTGGAAAGCTTTCTTTTCCAATTTACAGTCCTGGATGAAATTTCCACTCTTCAATAAGCAGACAGCGTTAGTGCTCAGAAGCTAGCTTTGTATTTGACATATTAATAGACAACAGAGCTGCTGGATGTAGTGGCTTATTGTCTGAGGCTTTGCCATTGCACACAATGGCAGTTTTGTGCGGCAGATCTGTCAGCAGTCATCACTCAGCTCAGCACTGTAACTGTGTGGTACCTGGCACTACACAAGAAAAAACGATGAGTCAAAAGACCAAAGTGGCACTTAGATTTAATTACAGATATGCCTGAAATTGCCAACTGCAGAAAATAGACAGAGAGGCAGGAGGCTGTGGTGGAGTGTGTATTTAACCCCCTGGACTGTGAGTGTGTGTTGTATGCTGCTGCACTGACTGTTGACTGAGAGGAAATAGTTTCCATGGATTCCCCTCCTGGCCGGCTTGTTAGTGAGTGAGTGAGTAAATGAGAGCATGCAGTGCTTGTGTGGCTTTTACAGTGGGCATGTCGGTACTGTTACTGAGCCACGTGCTGTCCCTGCCCCCATTTTGCTCTGGGCTCAAATAGTCATCCGGCACTCTTTCCCTAGATACATGACTCTTCAACATACAACTTTCCCTGCTCCACCTCAGAGCCAGGGAATGCTCTCTAACTCTGGACGCTGCTCCTGTCCTTTGAATAGCTCTTGGTATTTCAGCAAATATTGCAGCTTACAAGCTGATATTCTGTCTCTATGACTACCAGTAATTAGAGTTCACATCTCATCACAGACTTTTTCCACTAGGGCTGCACGATTAGGACCTAAAATGTGATGTTTGGTCAAGTTATTGCATGTTGTGATGACAATGTGAAAAGCAGTAAAATATGATTAAAACATACAATTTCAGTATTTCTCTGACCAGGTATGTAACAAGTAAAGAGCCTTTTTGGCTATGTAGATAATACATAATCTTTTTTCTAGTTTATTCAACAGTAGATAAAAGCACAGCAGTATTCTGTATGTCCATTTTGCATTTGTCTGATGTTTCTTGATTGAAAAGAGCACCACTAGGTATATCACTCCTCTAAGCAAACAGCCCACATTAAAAAATCATAGCTGCGCTCCATAAGACCGGGGTTCGATCCCCTGCTGAGACAGGAACACCACTGCTGTAATATTAGGCATTGTTTCTTATGCTACTTTTCTTCCAATATATTTGTATCACTACAGCCGCATGAATGTGTGATGCAATTTGATCCTTCCTGTTGTCGCAGCTCTTCGCAGTGTGTCACGGAATCCGTTTTTAATAAGCTTGGGCAATAATGTCAGTTTAGACAAATGATTATAGTCTGCAGAGTTATCAATATCAGAATGATCCAAATTCAGTTAAGAAGTAGCTTTAGACTAACTTTTGGTCTAACTTCTTATGGCTTCATTTATAGGGTGCCAATTTGGCAATATTTGGTTTCCAACCAGACAAACCACTAAATGTTAAAATTGTTACATGCTACCTGTTCAAAATAGATTATTAGCAAGGGTGGTAATATTGCCGATTTGCAAGTATATTTCAGGATACTTCATCCAGCTCAGTATAACTGGGTCTGGTCTGTAGGAGAGTAGAAGGTCCATCAAATCAACAAACTGGCACCCTTCTTCTAGACAGGTTTGTCCATTTTACTCTCTACCATAGAGCAAATCTGAGGTTTATTTTGTTTCTTTTTCATTTTCCCCAGCGTTCCTTGCTAGACTGAAAAGCCACATTATAATCTTTCCACTTGTCAGAATGATTGTACAAAGGAAATGGGTAAATAAAGGCCAAGCAATAAAAAAAATGTGAAAGAAAATGAAAGAACGATAATTGCAGTAATGGGTTATATTGATATTTGACTATCACTTATCAACCGAAGGGTATTGCCATGATAATAAAAATATCTTCCTCCATTTACATTTAGTAATTTGTCAGGCATTCTAATCTAGAGTGATTTACAATGGAAGTGTGAACAGCAGAAGTCAAACTGATAAAAAACAAAGACTAACAATGCATGAAGAATCTTAATGGCGTTCTCACCTGAAAAAGATAGTCTTGTCCTAGTTTCAGTCTAGTGCAACTTACAAAAAAAGAAACATTCCACTAGATTTCTTGCATCTGTGTTGATAATTTGTTGTGTGAATATGTTATTTTTTTCTCTACAAACATCTATTTTCTGATATTCTAAACACTGTTTCATCTGTGTTTTTCCGTCAGGGCCCAAATTATTTACACTCTCTCTCGCTCTCGTTCTCCACACGTCTGTCTGCCCACCCATCTTTCTGTCATTTCTATGGCCTGCAGAGAAAGTCAAACACTTTCCCCTCTTAGCTGTTGCAGATGACATGTGCGCTCTTTAAACTATTAGGCAGCCTGGAGAGAAGAGACAGAGAGAGGCAGCTTCAACCCCAGGGGTCAGACAGGCCAGTATGGCCACTGTCAACACAAGCACGTCAGACTGATATTAAAGCACACAGGGGAATTACTATCTCAAGTGGAGCCACTTAGCAACACCTGGTCATTCCGCTAAAAAGGTCAATTAAAGTAAGGGGAAAAAACTAATTGAATGAAGACCGAACCTTTTTTTGGTTTGCAATTATAACACTTGAGTGGACATATTGAAACAAAGTAGGCACGCTCTGCTTCCCTCTCCCCCTTCATTCGCATCGCAGGCCAGGAGAGCCTGGAATCTCCTCTCAGTTTGGAACGGTCAGCTGTTTATTTTTAGGCCAATATTAATGTGTTGATCAGCACCATCTGCGACTCATGGGCAGGCTACAGGAAATTACTTCTGCACAGTTAACGTTTCTGCCCAGATTTATGAGGCAGAGGAAATATTTTGTTGAAATCTCCTTCTAGGTGACTGAGTGCCTTTATTGCTGCCTCACAGAGATCCAAAAGAAAGCTTAACTGCTCTAGATTTTCTCTCCCACAAATGATTATCTGGCTTTTCAGTTGTTAAATGTGTTGCATTCTTCTTCCAGTGGGACTCTATGCTACTCTTGCAGTTTTTGCTGGTTTTCATTGATTAAGAATATTGGCAAGCTCCAGTTTAGCACACGTTTACTTTTACTATACTAGTACTACTTATTTAACATAGTTTTTTGTGGCTTTTTTAAATTAGTGTTATCATTATTTTTATGTATTTCTTTGTTTTTTTTGTGAAAACTAATCTGTTAATTTTCTCTTTGGCTGAGGTTCAAGCACTATGTTTTATCTGATAACACAATAGATGGTGGTTGGTTGTTACTAGTTCTGTGCATTTTCATGTAGAAATCA